TTCACTGAATCTGTCCTTTTAGGCTCACAGAGCCCTTCTGGTAAATTCTGGGGCAGGAGACATCTGGAGTGAACTCTGCCCCTTCACAATTTTGACTAAAAAGAAGGAGAACTTGTTAGAAAGACCTGAAGTATATGAAATAGTATTTCATGTCATGAATCTTGGGCAAGAGCGTCTCCTCACCTATAAAGGAAAGGGAGAGTCAGCCCCTGCTCCCCGCTTTATGCTCAGATTAAAACTTTCACTAAGTGAAAAACACACTGAAAACTTCATAACACTCAGGTGAAATGTGTGAATATTCTCATACCAGTACAAAACCTTTTTTCCCCACAGTATGTTAATCTCTGCAACTTCTAGACCACAACTCCCCAGCCAGGGAGTCTCTTCGGAGTACCTCACAGGTTTTAGCAGTCTTGGTCTTAAACAAAATAAATAAAAAAAAAAAAGAAGTAAACTTGAGAAAAATACCCCAGCCGAGTTCAGGGCTCTACCCCAGACCAGTGTGGCCTCATTTCTCCCTCCAGCCCCTTTCGCAGTGCCATAGGCAGATGTCGTGTCTGCATGTTGTTTCCAGTTGATGTGTCAGATGCTGTTTGTTTTTTCCCTTTGACAAGCATCACTTGGGATGTCTGGGTTGCATCAGAGCAGGCCCCGAGTGCCACGTCAGAACTGGGAGACAGGTACCGAGCTCCCTGAAGCCTCTCTGGGTGAGGAAGCAGAGAATCAGAGGCTTCTGCTCAGATTTCCTACCATTACCATCGTCAGCTCTTCAGGAAAAACTCCCCACCATACCACTGGAAAGAAAAGCCCTGTGTGAAAGCAGAGATGACAACCACGTATGTGAACGTACATACAGATTTCTTCTACCGTTCTTCTCAACTCCACATGCAGGAAACAGCCTGTCTGCTTTCCTCTTCTTCTCCCCCTGGCACCAAAAGCAGGCAGAGAAAAACAGTGCAGAAAGGTTATTTTGTGCACGGGAATGATCAAGGACACAGCAACGTTGATCATGCTTCCTCTGGTAAGGGACGAGGTGTGGATCGCTGAGAATACGCTGAGAATGACGTGAAAGCGTCAAGCGCTGCAGCCAAATTTGCCAGTTTGCAGGAGAGCAAAGACGGCTCTTCTTGAAAGAAATGCTCTCTGCCCCAGGCTGCAGAAGGAAGTGCTGGGATCACTCAGAGGCGATGGCAGCTGTGAGCAACGGTCGCTCCTTAGTTGAACTCAGGAACAGTCAAACATTGTAATTAATGATTATTGGTCTTGCACATCACACCTCTGCGTTATCACACTTCTTGGGTAACCCCCAGGTTGTCTTATCCAAGAAAGAGGCATTTATCCGTTTCCCAGACAAGGAAAGAAAGGCCTCAAGAGGTGAAGTGACTTAGGTGGAATCAGCCGAGGGGCCTACCGCAGAGTGCCGTGCTAGGAACCGCGCTGTGCGCCGCCGCTTCGTTCTGCCTTTGCCCAAGCATACGTCTGACAAGCGATATGTAGATTGACTTTGCCCTCCACAAAGAAAGGGTCCCGCTGACATTCCCTGACACTAACCAGACGACAGACTTGACCGGGAACAGCGGGGCTTTGGTTATTAGTGGGAGAGGTGATGTATACAAGCTTCATTCCTGTTGATTACTGGATTCAAGGATTTTGTCCCACCGGGATCTTCTGACAGCTTTCTTTTTTAAAGAAAGCATTACCAAGCAACGCAGTAAGTATGATTTAAGTTGCAAAATAAAGAGTATTTCAGATCTCTGTTTTGAGAAATTACTTGCCGCCAGGATAGTCCATCTGCGCCGTTTGCGCAGGACTGCGGCTTAGACACGTGGAAACCAAAACAGGTTCCTGCCTGGTACTTAGAGCCTGTGTAGGCTGGAATGAGGAGCTGGTGAGCGCTGGATTAAAGACACTCTGCAACTTTCCTCTTCTTGCTACAATTTTACTCTCTTTTCTTTGCTGGAAAAAAAAAGGAAGAAGGAACAGACATGGAAAAGAGACAGCTAACTAACTTCCAGTCTTTGAGAAGGACCCTATTATTTCCTGTCTTCTCCAGGCATTCACATCATCTCTCAGAGCAGGGGCAGAAAATCTCAGCAGCCAGACCCTCCAGTGGCTTCCCCTGCCCACGGCTTTGCAGAAGTCACAGAACTGCATTGATTTATCTGTACTGATGAATTGGCCCAACGGGCTTAATTCAAATAATTTTTCCTCATTCTTCTCCAGTCAGTAAATTAGTTAAAAAGACAGAAAACCAAGCATAGCTTAGATTCTTTCGTACCCTGATATCAAACACACAGCAACTTGCAACAGGAGAGACTTAGAAACAATGGAAGGAATGTGTTTTCCTAGTCCTGTTCAGTGCTTAGGAGGAACTCGGTGGCTGGCAGCAGAAACGCTGCCCTGTGAGCCTGATTATCCGAACGTAAAGTGGACAATGAGTCACGGCAGGTAACCAAGGGGATTTTCAGGGCAAGCGTTTCAGACAGTAGCTGGGTTCTCCTCTGAGTTACAGGGCTACAAATCACAGGCAACGCTAATAAACTCAACACCAAAGTGCGAATGTAGAAATGATGAATGGGAGGGAAGAAGAAGGTCCTTTAGGGTGCGGGCGCTGAATGTATGCACATATATACATACATTTCTCTGCATGTGGGGGGATCTGTTCACAAACAAACTGCTTGCTGAGGTACTGCAAGGAAAAAAAAAAAGCAAAGGGTACCAAGGGAAGTCGGGTGAACTTGCGATTTACTCCTAGGTGGGAATTCGCCTTCCCACTGTTCCTGCAGGGAGCGGGTGGGATAGGTGGCCATCACTGGGACTTACACCAGTAGGGTGAGGGAAACGGCAAATCTGCAGTGATCTAACACAACCCAAGCCACAGAATGGCTAACAAACCTGTCCTCTCCCTCAGGGAAACTTTAAATCACTTTGGTAATAAACAATGTTTTGGTGAACGGCACCCCTGCATCTGGATTTCTAGACCTAATTCTTCCCTCCTTCTCATCTCGGATTGCCCTTTGCCGATGGGCAGAGCTGCAGTAACGGCACTGCGCTGGCTGGCGATACCACCCTGGACTTGTTTATTTTGCGCAGCGGAGGAAACGAGGCAAGCATCAGTGAGCAATTATTGAGCGTACACTCGGGAGGGTAAACCGCAGGCTGGTGCTGTGCTGCTCCTCTCCATAGATGCTCAACTGCAACACCTGAGAAACCAGTCCTGAGCTCTGGATTTCCCCGTTGACTGAGGACTTTCGTTCATCACCCCAAATTTCAGAAACCGATCGGGTCCGCTGACAGCCCGTCGCCTTCATCACCCAGGGTGAGTCTGGGGAAAGTAAACAAGCAGGGGAATTGCACCCGGTGCTAGAGCTAAAACAAAGGCCGCCGGCTCTGAAATACCCTCCCACACTCAAATTCTTATACATTAAAGCAACTTCCTGTTTCTAACCAAAGCTTCAGCCTGAGCTGAACTGAGATATGGAGACACAGCCCCCGACTCTGCCGGAAAAGCAAAGCAAAACATTGGCTCTGCATCCAAAGACAAATTAATCCAAGTGAAATGCTGAACTGTGGAGCTTCTGTGAAGATCTGCTACTAGATCGACAGGCAAGTGGGATTTACAGAGGGCATATGCTGAATAGCTCAGTGCTATAGGAAGCTGGTGGATATATGGGAGCTCCTTTCCCAAATTCGCTGTGGGTCACATACCTCCGCAACTGCAGAGTCCCACACTCCAGTCAGAGGTAGATTTCTCCCTGATAAAACTAGCTTGAGGAGAGATTTCAGCCTCTAAAATCTGCTCCATCCGAGAGAGGAATAATTTATGGTCCAAACCCTCACCTGGAGGACAGCAATACACGTTTGGTGAGGTTGCCCACATGAATACTGGTGGAAGAGCTGAGCCCTTCCTCCTCCTTTTGCAGCCACCCAGGCTGCGCAGGGTCAGCACCCGTAACTGTCTGCGGTGGCTAAAAGCCGGTCAGTGAGAGGGGCATCCTTGCTGATAGCATCTGAACGTGACTTCAGGTGTCGCATTCCCTTCTCAGCTGCTCACTAACAGGCGCTGGGCCACATTTCCTCCAGCTATAGGAAGTCAGCGTAGCTTCTTGACTTCAACTAAGTCAAGGTCTGGCCTGAATGCAATGTTGCCAATAAAAGTCACTGCTGTGACTTCATGGTGCAAATCTCAGAAGACCGAGACACAAAAATCTATGAGGTCATCCAGATTACCATCTGACTGATATAAGAGGCTCTTTTGACGCCAGCAAAAGCTTTGCCTGAGCAAATGCTGTAGGATTTGATCCTAAACTGCATGGACAATGGAAGGAAATCAGGCTCTGCCACAACACTGGCTGATCTAGAGGAATTCAGGAAACTGACTTCTGAAGACATTTAATCATTTAAAGATGCAGACAGGCACTCAGCAGCGTTGTCATGAATGCCATACTCCCACTGGAACTCACAAACTTGGAAGAAGCCAGGTGGTTTTGGAAACCCAGGCACCTAACGCTGGGAAACCACAGCAGGCTTACATCACGTCTGTGGAGATGTTTTGGTCCAGCCTCTCTGATGACCTTTACCACCACTGACAAACTTTTTTGAGGAGAAAGGACACCTCTTCCTGGACTCCTTCTCAGTGAGTCACCCTCAGGCATGTCAGCAGCCAACGCAGTAACTATTTAACAGCCAGCCCTATGTAAATGTTACCGACATCCAGCAGTACTGATTCTTGACTCAAGGCCCAAAAGGTGACTTCATTTCCCTGGCACCGTGCTGAGCGCAAGGAAGCCTTGGGAAAAGGTGTGCGTGAGGCTAAGAAACTGTCCTGGACCTCTTCCACCGCCTGATGCCGCAGATGACGAGGATTCATGCTGCTCCACTCCGGCATTACGGCTGCCCTCACTCCCGCAAGAGGGAAGCGGAGTTTGCCATGCTCTCTCCAAGAACAGAGGCCACACAACACGCAAGGCAGGTAGGGACACAGACACACACATTCTCACCTGGCCTTCAGCCGTAATTTAACTCCTCCCGACCAGGTGGTTTTGCTGGGGTGAAAGTCAGTGGTCACGCAGTCTGGACCGAGTGGCTTGGGAGACAGGTCGGTGCATCCCTTTGCTGCATGTGTGTCCCTGTCAAAAGAAACCAAGAACACGTAATCGTCGGCACACAAAGACCTCAGCCCTTGTATCCTGCATTTAGTAAGGATTTTAGGAAGGGAGGCAACACACAGACCCAGGGGGTAAGTCAGGGCCGTCAGTCGAGTTTTTAAGAAGTGCAAAGACAATGTCACAGAAAGCCACCTGTATCCCTTTTCTTCTCTACGTCGTTGCCCAGGAAGGCTGTAAGAGTGAGACTTTGCTGTCCTTTACACCTAGGCAGTGCTCAGCCCCTGCGAGTGCCCCTCACAACCGTTTTGGAGGAGCTGCACAATGCCGCAGCACTGCTTCTCAGCACACAGGAGTGAGATCAGCTGCAGCACCCACGGCACAAAACTCATTATCCTACATCTGCATTTTGGGACTCTAAATCCCTAAGTGTGGGGCTCGGGGGTTCCACTGTGGAATATGCCCTTTCCACACGAAACCACCTTACGAGAGCTCAGGGAATGCTCTGAATAGACAAGAGAAAAGCTAAAAGAACAGTCCACACAGTGAGAGCAAGAAAGAGAAGCCTATCCCCCCACTCCACTGCTATTTCCACAAAGTTAGCAAACAAATATTTACCCCGCTTCATCACACGCACGCAGAAGTCACACAAACATCACGTAACCAGCACTTGAGCTCCTTCCTTCTCCCAGGCACAGGAGAGCCTGAAACGATGCAGTATTCCCCCTCGCTCCCATTTTTAGCACTGAAACGCTGGAGAGATTTGAAATTTCTGCTTGCTCAAGGAACCCCCACGCTGAATAAAAGCGCGTCTGAAAGGACCCCCTCCGCGCCTCCCTCGGCCCGCAGCGGGCCCTGGCCCGAGGTGCGCCGTAATTGCCTCTTGTTGTGTGCTTAGCGCGCTGCAGGCTGAGCGCACATGCCGGCATCTGGGGCTTTGGATAGCTGAGATGGCTTGGATGCCATTCCGGTGAGAGGCCAGCCGTCTTTGTGTCCGGCTCGGTCCTCCCCCACGCTCCCTCCCCAAGCCCCCACGTGCCAGGCAGGAATGTTAAGCCTCACATTGCGGATGAGATATAGCAGGGAAGCGCAGCAGCACTTTCACCTAGATTAGGGAAAGCGACTGGTCCGGAACGGCCTTTTTGCTCGCCCTGCTTGTCTCCATCTAAATTTTACCCCCAAATCCTGCCTTAGCTGCCTTTTCTTTCCGTGTGCCAAATCCCGTTCCCCTTTGTTCCTGCCACCCCTCTCCTCTGAGATGATGTCAAGCCTCTCGTCGCGCTAGAAGGATCCCCCTCCCTGCTCCTGTACCAGCCTTGCTATACATGCCAGGAGCACAACCTCCTCTGCTGCAGCCCTGTGACGTGCCAATACCGCTAACTGCTCCAATTCGCTTTGCTTATCCAGTTTACCATGAAAAATTACTAATTTTTAGAGGAGACTTCGCTGCAAGATAGAGAAAGGACAGAAGGCCGGCTACGGATTAGGGTTTAAAAGATTGTACATAAACGACTTACATATATAAATAAATACAAAATTTTGTAAGCAAAATATATTTGCAGCTATAGTTGTTATAGGACAAAGTGCTCTATTTGTGGCTTTGTATGGAAACACTGGAGAAATGGTCCCGGCCACAAAGAACTGCACTTCTGCCCCTACAATACTGCCCCTGAGAGATTTCTGTATTTCGGTGACAAGGGGCCCCACCGACCCCCTGGGAGCGTTTAAGCACAGCTCGAATCCGTGGCGAGGCTGCTGAGTATCACTCTGAAGCCTAACGAGGTGTCTCACTGACAGCGTTGTGGCAGGACCCCATTAGAGGGGAAAGGATCTCAGCAGAGGCACTTGGCTTAACTCTGGGGCAAATCCTGACCTCCCTACTCACACTCATTTCCCACACAGGGAACTGCCACCCCCTACACCTCCCCAGTTTGCTAACGGGGCCGTGAAGAGAAGACCCAGTTTACCTCAAGGTCCTCCACAGGCAGTTAGTACTATGTTGGAGTGACACGACCTTAGTTTAAAGGGAAGAAGAGGCTCCGGGCTGTGACCGTACCTTATTGATTCGGGGTAACCCTGGCATGAGTCAGAACTTCTGGGTCACTACTGGGGACTGGCCCAGCAGCCTTATTTGCAGAAATGCCGTTGCCTGTGGCTCCTGCTGATTTTCAGGGGCAATGGAGGTGCTGAGCACTTTTGGAAAAGGCATCTGGATGTCCTGAAGTTCTGCCAACTGCCACGGCGCTATAAACCTCATCACTACACCGAAACGCTTACAAAGTCAAGGCGATTTCTTTGAGACGATTCTCAGAGTATGGTTTCAACCCGTTTGAAAGCATATACTGGCACAGGAGAAGAAGACCTTTGCCATGTTCATAGGAGACTCCTCGGATCAGCAATGACCTTTCCTAACACACCTCCGGCAGTGCTCAGTCGTAACCTCCCCAATTCTTTTCCTAAATAGCAGACTTCGGCTCGCCCAGGCTACACCATAGCTGTGCTGCAGTGAGTAAAGCTGATCGCATCTTCTCTCCGGTCAGCTATCTCCGAAGTAGCCAGTAACAATATTTAGGACTGGGAAATTACACCTGTGTGTGCCAAACACATTAAAAAGAGTCATCAGCAGCCTGAGAAACTGATAGAAAGGAGTAAGTGCCTACAGCTTCCCGGGCACCACAGCCTCGTGATCTTTCAGCACTTAGTGTCTTTTTTTTCTTTTTTAAAAAACCCTGTTTTCGAAACAGGTGAAGAAAGCAAGAGTCTAAACTCTGCTGTGAGCAGAGCTTCCCCAGTAAGTCACTTCCAAGCGTTCCCATATGGATCCACACAGATCCGACCCTCGCAATCGGCAGCTAGAAGCAGCGGGAGGGGAAGCGGCTTGGGTGTTCCCCCTCGCACAGTGAGAAGCCCGTGCTTGCCAGCATGCATAACTTTGGGGTTTACCTCACAGAGACAATGAAACGGTAATTAGTGTCTGCATGGGCTCTGGGGTTGTTGTTTGGGGGGAAGAACGAAATGCAATGGGGTTTTTCCCGAGCCTCTTAAAAAACTATAATTAGTGAGCTCTGTGTGGAACGGCGGGCTCAATAAGACATTGAAAACTAATCAGCCAGTCTATAAATAACACCATTAATCAAGCCCAGTGGGGAACACAAGAGATGAGGATCCTTCCACCAGTGAAGCGCGCACACATCAGGGATGGAGCAGAGCAGCTCTTCAGCGGCGGCCCCCGCCGGGTGCTTTGCCAGAGAGGACGATGCTCAGGCAGGGGTGCCTCCGGCGAGAGCACAGCTGGCTGAGCAGGGAAAACAGCTGGGGCCAGCATCGGGGCTGCAGCTCCAGAGGTGGGGAGCTCCCCCAAACAGGACCCACACACCCAGCACCTTCTCTCCCCTTGCAGCTTTCTGCCTCACGCTCAGTCAAGCGACCCGACTGCTTATCTTGGAAGATTTTCTAAGACATTTCTAAATCATTTTCTACGGCAGCTCAGTCTAACGACCAGTAGCGTGCTAATCTCTTACAAAGATACTTTTTCAACTGTGACGTGGAAACAGCCACCCTAGTGCAAAGACGTTGAGGGCCTACCTTGTGTCTTGACTGTGGTCACTCACGCCTGCTCCTCAGAGCGACCCTTCTCCTCAAGCCCGAGCTGCCCCCGGGGCGGCACGGTGTGATGGCTCTCTGCAACAGCACCCAGCGTGCTGGGATGCTCTTTAAGGCCGAGGCTGCATTTTATTTCGGGATGCTCAAAGTGCCTCCTCACAATTGCATAGCTAAAACGTATCCCGGGCAAGGAGTGGCCTGCAGTTGTTCTTTTTGTTATCACGTTGTTTCTAAAGCTCGCGAACGGGAGACAGGAAACCTAGCGCAGTCTATTTAAAACTGCTTTACCTCCCACCTGAGGCTGGCAGCTGCCTCTGAAATCTTTCCTTTTCTGCAAAGTTCACGTTTAATTATGAACTGTTATTTATACTTGCTCCTTCCATGGTGCCTTTGGTATTTAATACCACACATGTTAACGAGTGGCTGAACGAAGTCACTCTGCTCAACTTTTCCCTCATCTAAAAATATGGCCGGTTAGGATTTTTTTTCTCAACGCTTGCTCGACAAACAGCAAAAGAATACAGCAGTACCGATTTAAGCCTTTTTTAAAGAAAAGCCCTCTCCTCAGAAGTTACACTGTCCCTCTGCCTTGTGCAGAGAGCGGCAGGTGTGAGAAGAAAGAGGCAGCACCTCTCGACCCACGCAGCAGTATCTCCTCTGCACACCCAGCACTGTTTCCCTGTGTTTTACTACCCTCTTCAGAGCTCTACAAGAAAGCACGGGTGGCCGTATTTTATATTAATCAACTCCCTACAAGACTGGTTTGCCCGTTGCTGCCATCCGATGTCTCATGTCCTTCCCAAGCCGTCACAATCCCTGCAGAACTCATTTGCTGGTTTAGGGAGATCCTTTGCTTCTGACCATAGACAACTCTGACCTCCTCTGGCTGCCGTATCTGCCTCCCGCGCTGACCTCCCGTTACCTGTGTACTTGGTTTCATACCATTTATCTTAACCTTTTGGGCTCTTGGCTCCTCTTTCTCACTTTCTTCGGTCTTCCTTATCCTTATTTATGATCTCCACATTCCAGTACAGATTGGTTTCCTAAATCAAGCCTCGATGATGAGTGGGGGTGCATGCCTCTGCCCAGCAGATCCCTCAACAATTAAGCCTGAACTGGCTGACCAATTTCAGCCAGGGTCTGCAGAGATATTATTCTCAATGAATTAAACTCAGTGTTTCATAAAAATAGTTCCCTGAGTAATGGAAGCAGCATAAATCCTTGCTTTCACTGAGGAAATGCTGCAGTGTGAGCTGAGCTGCTACAATTCCCAAAGAAGAGAGAGATTCTACACCGGGAAGCCATATAAAACCAAACTTCTGAAGGTTTGTCTGCTCATAGCATTTGTTTTCCAGAGCATTGGCCTTACGCTTCTCTCTGCAATACCATCCTGTACTCTGCTTTTCTGCTTAGCTGTCTGCAGTTCCAGGTGTAAGTTTAGGATACAGCGGAGATCACCCATAAACAGCACCTGGAAAAATGTTTAAAAATTATTATACGTTGTTTTTTTTTTTTAATTTCATAATGGGTATTTTTCTAATGGTTCCACCTCTTGGAGTCACAGTTACTTATTTTTAACTAATGCCAGGTTTGCTGCCACAGTAATAGAAGACCTAAGTCCCAGAGGATCAAATCCCCAAATGTTAATAGGTTTAGTAATTTTTAATGTCTCATTACTTCTAGGCCCAGTGTTATTCCTAGAAAAGAGGATTGAGCTTAAATTCTGATTTTTAAATCATTCGGGATCGACAGGAGAGTTTATAACCACTATCAGAACTAAAAGCTTTCCTAGAAAAATAACTGCTCACACGCTGATGCTTCTGAAATTGAGATTAAAGCAAGGAACTCCTCTTCCAAGTTCTGCGGTGATTTGTAGGCATTTCCTGATATTTTTTTCCCTTTGTCTTACATCAGGACATAAGAGGCAACCTTCCTCCACCCCAGAAACAGCCAACAGCACAGCACAGCCACAGAAATAAGGAAAAGCAACAAAGCAGAACTCGGCTCCGACAACCCCACAAGGAGGGAGACGAAGGAGTTAAGGCTGCAGTTTTATCCTTATAGCACCCCGCGTTACACAATGTCACGGGGCGTCCTGAGATCCCCAGCTCAGCCGAGTGACATAAGGAGCGTTCGGCAGCTTCACCTCCGGCTATCCTCATCCTGCAGGCTACAGGCAAGCTCTCAGCAGCTGACCAGCTGGAATTACGTCTCCTTGTGAATGAAAACGCCACCTCCGCCGCAGTCCCCCATCTCTTGGCAAACAGGAAGCCTTCCTGCCTCCTCCGTGCCGTTAAGGAGAGGGCTCCCCCCGGGTAGGGCTGCAGAAGGGGAGACAGACCACACTCATCCCGGGCACCGACCTTGCACTCGCCAGCGGGCACGCTGCTTTGCAGATCCTCCTGCTCCGCCTGAAGTGAAAAGACTGGATTGCTTACGTATTGCTTATTTTGTTACCTCCTGTGGCTGGTCCAGAAATAGCCCGTAATCCACATATCTGTCACGCTCCCAGAATCTCCTTTAGCTGAAGTGGAAGTGCCCTGCGTGTCAGAGCACAAAGGCCCAGGTGCTCTCCTGGATAGAGCACACGTGGGTCTCAGCTGGTAGCGGCAACGTCTGCCCAGGTTTGTCTGTGCTCACGGGACGCCCGAAGCAGACAAAGAGGCAGGACCAGCTGGAAATATGTGGACAAACCCATTTTTTTTAATCCGAAAAATTCTCATAAATAGAACTGAAATGTTTCCTTGGAGGACATGCAGTTCGGACTAAAGCTTTTGCTGTGAAAAGTCTCTCGGTTCCTGGGTAAAACGGCCAGTCTGCCACTTAGGACGCTCACCTGAGATGGGGAAGACCCAGGTTCAAGTCCACAGTTAACGAGGCAGATAAGGAATTCAAGGCTGTTTCATGGACACCTCAAAATGCAACAGGCTCCACCTTGGAAAACCCCTGGAAGGACCTTTTCATCCTAACGCAGAGCAAGACAGGTTTTGAAATCTCAATCAAGCTCATCGAGCACACGAATCTTGGGACCGAATTAGGTATTCTTTCCAGAGCTCTGCAGCAAGATCCAAGTCTCAAGTAGAAACAATAATATCCACGTCTTGGATTCAGATGGGTCAGTAAAGCTCAGGGAAAAAACCCACACAACCCAAACCCATTCAGAGCGCTGCTGGCTGCTGCTTCTGAAAAACAGGACTATTTAATACAAATTCTTTCGTATGCATCACAGGCACATCCGTGCTGATATCTGTTAAGATGGGATTAGTAGAGCTGACCTTTGTGCCATAAGCCAATCACCAAAAGGGAAAGAAGACATTTTCCAGGAACAGCGCAGAGGCAGCTTGTGCTTTTCTAAACGCACAGGCCACTGCTTGAAGGCAAATCAAAGGGCTAAGAAATCACAGAGCTGTCTCGGGATGGCAAATTTTAGATGGATACATCCCACGTTCAAGCAGCCATCGCTTTCAATCTAATAGCTCCTACATGGTCACGCCGAGCGCGCGGTATTTCAGGGCAAAGAAACACAGAGGCCGAGAAGTCACTTGGAATTAATTCAGACTCACAGCTTTCCTTCTAGCAGAGCTCTTCACTGAGACAACTCCAACTTAAATATCTTCAATGAGCACTGACCTTCAGGTCCACCGAGAAAAAATCTGGAGAAAGGAGACTGCGTTTTGACTGTGCAATACCATCCAGTCCCACTTGTCCAGTGTTTTTCTGGCTTTCCCTTTTCTCTGAGATTGGATGGGTTTTATTTGACCTGACCTCAATCCCACAGTCTGGCTGAGCTGTGTTTGCACAGACCCACACAAAATGCACAAACAAGCTGCTTCGGCGCCGTACCTGTTTGCAAGCAGAGATCTGAAAGGAGTATTCGCATTCATTTGGGTTCCTCACTTCATTTGGTATTGGCCAAGGGATCTTTGAGAAAATGAACTCCCTCTTTGTCTGTGAGAGAGACCTAATCCTCGTTTTGCCCTGGAGGATTACTGGGTACTTAGAAAGGCACTCACATGCACATTTTTGGTTCGTGCCAGCTGCATTCGGGTCCACAATATGTAGCGCTCGCTTTGGTCTTTAGGTTTGACAATAGGCATTCCACTGCACCCAGAACTCGACCTCAGAGCCTGCCACCCTTTTAAAGACACCCTAAATCGACGCTTTCTGAAATGCGGGCCTTCCCCTGCTTTGCATGAGCAGTTCTCCCTCAGACAGCGCGTGTGAATCCAGCGGGCAGGCAGGCAGCTGGGCACGCAGCCCTGAAGACCAGAGTCCTTTCTTGTGCTGCCGAGCCGGCGGCTGGAGTGCACGGTTCCCTGTGTGGCCCTGCCAAAAAGACCTGGAGCCTAGCTGGAAGGAAGAACCTGTAGGGCTGAGACATCAGCTTTTATCCCTAGTCAATTCCTGGCTTTTTGTAATAGAAGTTTACAGTTATACTCAATTATAGCTTACTGTTTGCACGACAGTACCACCCAGAGAGCCTGTTCAGGCAGCGGAGCCCACCGTTCCTGGGTTGTACACGCTGGTATATAATAAAAGGTCACTCCTTTTTGTTACACAAATAATTCCTATAATAATTCCAAATGCCGAGGGCCACAGCACCAACTCGGTGCACGGCTGGGCTTTTGCCACTGTGGTTATCTGTGCACATGGTGGGTTTGTCGCTGGCTGTGGTTTTGCTCTACCCATCAAGGTCAGGAGCCTCGACAGCGAACCAGTGTTCCCACCTGGGTGACATGTGCTCTGTGCAGCTCTGGCCCAAATCTTTCCAGGGTTGTGCCTTAATTCTATAAAGTAGTAATTCGGGATGCAGTTCAACGGAAGTAAATGACTCTCACCTTCAGCTGCTGTAAATTAGTAGCGACTTGAGCAGCACTCTGCCTGCTCAGGGGAGCTCTCACCTTCTCAGGAGGTGAGACTTGAGAGGTTACAACTGTCTTGGTCTGTCAAATGGAACCACCACAAAAAAGTGGAGTGCAGTCCACCCTGCAACCTAACTCTGCTTGTAGGTGAAATGCTTTCCTGCACCTTATACTCAGAGAGTTTTACCACCCTTAGAAAACAGGTCTACCTACTTACTGTGTCAAAACAAAGTAAAAATACAGAGAAGTTACATTTTCATCCTATTCTACCCCAGAACTAACAGGACTATCTATAGACTTGCTGGCTCTTGACCATTAGTGAAAGTCTCTTGAGTTTTTTGAGACAACACGTCACACTGGCTTTTGAGGACGCTGTGAGATTTGCATGGGGAATCAGAGCGTCACCCCTATTCATAGGCTGTTCAGGACCAGGAGGCCACTAGGAACAATCTGTTAGACCTGGCCATAAAAGATCGGGATCAGCTCTCTCTGAGGTGCAAAAGCGCTCAGATCTGTTCGTCAGCTGTGCCCAAAATGAAGATGATGTACTGCAGAGCTCGTGTCAGCAGAAGGATCGTTAACCCTTCTGTCCCTTTAAGGACCATGACTACCGCACACAGGTAAAACAATAACATTATCTTTACAGGTTCTGGGGTATCCCAACACTGAATCATGCTGATCGAAAGTCATTCTGTATAAATGACAACATTGAACTTTTCTTACATAACATACAACAAAGCACAAGCTGTCTCTAAAGGACAAGTGTAAACGAAATAAAAAAAACTGCAGTTCCTACAAAGAAAGGCAGCCATAAGAAGGAAGCAAAAAGTCATACTCATATAAAATAAGGACTGGTTTCCATTTTAGGATTAGAGAATGAAAGTGATTCCAGGGGAAAAGACTACAATCCCTCCATGCTGAAAAAATAGTTATGCTCACAGAGAAAGATTCAATAAGCAGAAGATATTTTCCCAGAATTACTCTTTTTACACTCACCCTTCAGAACAGTGATATTTTCCAGATACAAAAGGGCCGTCCTAGGGAGGCAAGACGTGTCCCACCTGGGACCTGGCCAGAGGGTGCAGAACCGAGACCTGAAGGCAAGACTAGCCCACACCGGGAAACTTTGCCAACAGCACGTAGGAGCTGGGGCCAGTCTCGATCTGCTGGTGCAGTGGTTTGCGTGAGCGCTTCCTAATATGTTAAAGGCAAAACAAACTAGGTCAGTTCAGACCAACAATTTAAATGGTTTAAAGCTAAAGATTAAGGGAGTGCTTACACGAACTGTTCCAGTGGCAGATGGATGAGATCTCTGGCACTGATGAGCAAGCGAGGGCATTAATCTCTTCCGCCAGCACAGCTGGATCTCTCTTCCTGGCTGGCATACGCAGTGCACTTTAAAGAACACGGCCTGAAATTTTACCCTAGCAGCTCTCCTTTGAAAATATGGATGTTACCGAAGTGCTGGACCAGTAGCTCAGCTGTTTTTTCCCAAACTGGTCTCAGTGGTTGGTAGTGAGTGAGTGGCAATCCGAGCATCTGTTCAGAGGAGGCAGGAGAAAGCCTCAAATTCCCATTTGTCACAGGCATGGTCGACATGAATCGACTCCAGTCTGCAGCTGAGTTGTCTCTCCGCTCTCTAGCCTGATTATTTTGCAGTGTTTCCTGGTATGCCAGCTTTTAATTGCAGCAAGTTGAGGGGTGGAGTGCATTTTCCAGGCCTAAATCACCTTTGCAGGTGTAGCAATGCCTAATCCCCAGAATATGAGCCACTTCTTATGAGCTGCTTCTCCATCCCACTCACCCACCTCTTCCTGGACAAATTCCTGAATCCCTTACTCAACACAGCATCCATTTACTTCCTCAGGACTTCAGCAGATTTGCTCAAGTGAGAAATGAGTATAGATTGAGTAAGGAGATAAGGATTTGGCCAGCTGCTTTGCAAAACACAGTCACTGCAGCACCTGCAGCATCGTTTTTCACCGCGTTCAGAGACCTGTAGCTCTCAGAGACTGTAGTATAGAAAAGCAAAGAGAAAAATACGGTTACTACAGGACCCAGCTATGCCTGTTAGTTCTCCATCCATCCCTGAAGCAAGAAATGCTATCTTTGGTTCATCATACCCCCTCTGCGCCACATTAACCGGACAGGTCCAGTGGAAAAGCAACGTACTAGTCTAGGGAGGGCACAAAAATAGCCTGGCAACAGCAGAAAGACTTGAGCTTTTCAGGTATATAGAGAGTCCACAGAGCGTGGTATGAGCACCGAGCAAACAAAAGCCTGCTGAATACAGCAGAGTTGCAATCTGCATGATCACCTCCTCGCATTTTTAGTTTTAAAGAGCACAATGTTTTCGCTGGGGTTACTGCCCCCCTGCAACAGTGCTATCGCAGCTTTTTTATCACTTCAGCCATAAACGCAGCTATAAATCAATGCTGGCAGCAAAACCCACGGAAGTGAAGCCATTCTAGCTACAACAGCGCGCCCAGGCTAAGGCTCTGCCCTCTGGGCCTTTTGTGATCCTTTGACTTTGGATGAGAGTGCTCAAGGCGAGACAGAGAAATGCTGGCCGCAAAGCTAAAACAAAAAAATAAAATCTGTTTGTAACTCAAACTATTTTTAGCATCTGTCAGTCCGGCGGAGAGGAGAGCTATCTGATTAGAGTCTGGAAAAGGGACAAGAGGTTGGAAAAGGATGAGGACTGCAGCCATGACAAGACACATCAGATGAGAGAGGAACCCTTGGCCCCTCTCGCCCGGTGCTATGCCTCAGTGCATCCCCACTGTGCTCACACAAACCACCTCAAAGGAGGAAACGGCCTTCCCGACTCCACTCCCTCCCGCCGGCCACGGAGGCCCCCGGCACCTGCGGCTCCTCCAACAAAGGCAAGGGCTGGCCACCTACCCCTGCCCTGCGAAGCCAGCTGGAGCGCAGGGCGGCGGGGGGCCGGCCACCCCCAGCCCGGTGTTGGCGGTGCAGGAAAGGCAGTCCCGCTGCCCCTCCGCACATTCCTGCCGCCAGCGGAGAGGGGCACGCTCGGGGGACGCGCACAAAGCAGCTGATTTTAAAAAAGAAGCGGGAGGGAGGTGAAGAATAGGGAGGACTGTAAGCGACAATAAAGCAATTATTCCAGTTTCAGCGGGCTGGGGAAGCATTGTAAGGGTGGAAAAGACAAGTGGGCTCGAGTCTCATGATTAGCACCGAACAGAGATGGATGAGAAACTAACACCGGTGCCACAAAAACCTTCGCGGTGGCCAGCAGCCAGGTCTCAGCCCCTGGTGGGACGCTGGCTGTCTTCGCACGGCACAGCTAAGTAAAGAGTTAACTCATCTCCGTCTACATAATGAAGTCTTACACAGCCTACATTAGAAACAGGATTAGTAACATCACCACTGATACGTGAACAACTGCTAAGGGGAAAGAAGTCGTGAACATTTCTCTTTCAGTCACAGGACTGGGGAACGTAGAAATTTCAGGCCGTTTAGGATTAAGCTCTATTGTTACGCAGAATAAATAGACCTCTGCCTTCCTCCTG